AACCGATCCTGTTCGCGGGCGACTTCAGGCAGATATTGACCGTCGTGAGAAGAGGGACAAGAAGTTCCATCGTCCTGGCGTCATATTTAAATTTTTAGATTAATAATGTAGAACCTCAAACAAAAAGAATCATGGTAAAAAAATACATGCGATTGACCATATTATTTTGGTTATTTATTTACTTATATCGTTGATRACTGATAGCAAGACAAATATATACACCAAACTATTGACTCTATACTTTTAAATCACTGTACAAACGAAGGCAGTACATATATAGCCAAATAAGGCAAGAGTGGATTGCCCAATCGGCTATCGACTTACACTGGTGATGATTGATAGCTAGACAATCGGTCTACACATTTTTACATACCTCTAGCACAGGTAAAACACTGGGGGATTGTTTCCAACCAACTCACAACGGCCGAAGCGGATTGCTTGAAGCTGAAACTTTCAAACATTGCCACCAAACCTCCAAGCCTTATCACCAATTCTTATCACAATCACAAATCCTAACCTCAATCACCTACATAAACTTTCGACTTTTATAAATCCAACGACTTGACCCCAAAATCGACATCCACTTTCAGCGATTCCAACGGGCCTCCGAGTTTCCGATGGCAGCTAGTCTTATATAATAAAACGCTAARGTCATCGACAAATCCCACGGGAGGCGCTGCCTGTACTCCGCGTTTCTTCCATGACATTATTCTACTTGACGCGCTTTTTCTCCCGTATCTCCCTCTTTCCGTTATCGCTTTTCGTGTTTTCGCGMGTGGATATATTATATTGATGATTATTCAAATACCTTTATTAACTAAAAATATTACTTTTCCCGAGTTATTCCATCTATATTCCTACTATCATAAAAAAAAATGATTTTAATAATAATAAAAATATATTAATCGTGTTTTATCACAACTATAATAATACAACATAAATATTGTTTTAATAATTAAAAATATAAGTAGTTTGAATTCACCGATTGGATAGACATTTTTCATGTGTATTGCAATACATTTAACTCATAGATAGGAGTTTAAGTAGGAGCTTGGTGTGTCAATTGTTTATGACAATATTGTTACATACACGTAAGTAATAATAAGTAAACATAAAAACACTACAATAAACTCAATTTCAATCTCTTAAAACATACATGTAATATTTATATATACTAATATATTGTATTACCAAGTTTAATTACTTCAATTCATATTATAATTCTACTATTGTCTGTTAATTTTCTTAACTTATTAGTCCTACGAGTAGATTAGGTAGGCATCGTAAAGCTTGATCGAATCCCGCTCCGATGAAATTTGGACCATGCCTAAGCAGGCAAAATGTATTTTTGGCATTTTTTTCTTCAATATTTCTTTGTATTACTACTACTACTACTAGTAGTAGTCTACTACTATATAATAATTGATTTTATATCAACGTTTTAAACCTACCTCCTACAAACAGAATACATATAATATATTATAATTGTTTTTAATATATCAACGTTTTAAACCAATCTTCTAAAAAGACAATAGATATTACAGTAGTCACTCGATAATTCGAAATTCAGGGGACCGAGTTAATAATTCAATTTATAGAGGTTTTCGATTTACCGAGTGTTTGAATAATCGTGGGAAAAAAATTAATTTGAATTAAAGATAGGTGGAAAATTGTATATATATACATATATATATGGTTCTAAAAAAAAAAAATAAAAAAATAAATACATATATATATTAGGTACCTACGTTTATTTTGACATTTACTTATTATAAAAATTATTAATTGATATTTATTTATTATACAATATATTAATATATTTTACCCTTATTAATTGATATTTATTTATTATACATGTTATTATATTTTACATAGGTATTATTAAAGAAATCTGTTATTTTTTTTTGTGAAAAAATGTTGGCCACAATTTGTTCCATAGCGTTGTCTAACTTACTGATACCATTGAACATTGTATCGCATCTTTTTTCGTCCATTTCAGATTGCTCAAAAAATTTATGTAATCCTGACATAAAAAAATTTGTTTCTTTTAACTCTTTAAGTTGGTAGCAAACAACTTAGATTTTTCTTTTACAATAGGTCCTGATATTGGAATATTATTTTGAATATTAGTTTTTATTACGAGTTCGTTAAAAAGATTGTACATAATTTTTATACATATGAACTTACATAATCGTGTTTAAAGAAAATCGAATTATAGAGGTTCGTTGAAAAAAATTTTAATTGTAGAGTGTGCCTCACCGACAGGCATTTCGAATTATCGAGGGGACTATAGAGTGACTACTGTATACATGTATATATATATATATATATATATATATATATATAATGCTACATTATGCTCACTTTAATGATATCCTTTGCTCTCAACAATGATGTAATGTAATTATTTACATTACAGTCATATATTAATTATATACCTATATTGTTATTGCTACTAAATTAACGTACCTAAGCAAATATTATATTTATTATATAATATGTATATTATAATGTAATGTACAGTAAATATAGGTAGGTATATCACACTGTTATGAGAATGCACACCATTTAATTTTTTAATATATTATTTTATTATTAAAACAGCATTTTAATAAATAAAAATATAAGTAGTTTGAATGCACAGATCGGATAGACATTTTTCATGTGTATTGCAATACATTTAACTCATAGATGAGAGTTTAAGTAGGAGCTTGGTGGGTCAATTGTTTATGACAATGTTGTTATATACATGCCAGTAATAATAAGTAAACATGAAACACTACAATAAACTCAATTTAAATCTCTTAAAGCATACATGTAATATTATACTAATATATTGTATTACCAAGTTTAATTACTTTAATTCATATCATAATTCTACTATTATTTGTTAATTTTCTTTACTAACCTTTCAATTGACTTATATATATTAATATTATTTTTTGCAATATTTCAAACAACTTTCAAAACAAGAAAAGATATAATGTGATATATATGATAATAAATTGAATTTAAATTCCTCAAGTGGTGTAACTATGCTTAAAATATTGTATGATTTATCATCATTTTTATGTAGTTGGGATGCAAACATGTATTATAATTTATAAATGATACATATATATATATTATAAATAGGTATCATTTTACTACTTTATAACTTTTTTTTAATTTTATTGTGTTTAATGTTATATCAAAATTTAAAATATAATAAAATTAATTGATACCTATGTTTAATTAATAAGTACAATTGGCAAATCATATTTTTTTCTTACCTACTTATTTTATTGCAATACCTTTAGGCTACCCTTACCTAAAATAAGCCATTGGTTACACTAAATAAATTCCAATTCCTTAAAACATATAATATGCTGTCTTCAGTATTATTCAATAACCTATAGGCTACACAACTACCAGCAGTAATTTGTTCGAACTTATGATGACATGTGTTATATGTATATAATTGTAATATTAGTTAGGTTCGGTTATATAGGTATATAAAAAAAATTAACTAGGAACACCCTTGAAGAAAAACACATATATAAAACATAAAAGGAATATCTTTTATATTACTCATTTCAACAATGCAAATGTAACAGAAACACAATAAAAAAAATCATCATTGTATTAATACTTATTACTAATTTGTGACTAAATCATACTCTGTTAATCATAAGAATTTCTACACGGCATGCACACCATTTTAATTGTGATATTCATTAATTTTTTAATTCACTTAATAAGTCTTTATTATTATTCATCGTGAATTTCTAACTGATGTCACACATGCATATATATATAAATTTAAATTGATTAAATAATTAATTTTTGCTATCTTAAAATATAGTAAGTTTCATACACAAATCATTATAATTTCAAAAGCACATACCTACCTACTATGGCCAATATTTGTAATTGATTTTCAATTTCGTTGTATACCTATATATAATATTATATTTGATTTCTATGTATTGCTGTCAACGCACAAATTGGTTAATTAATTAGAATTATTATTTTTTTTTTAAATATAACTAATGATTGTAAGAATTGTGACGTTAAGTACAGCGTTTAACTTATGTATTTTAATATTGTTCAAAATGTCTAGCAAATCATCAATGATCATATTTATCATTATTATTATTATTCTATTAGGTACTACTTATTAAAACTAAAATTGTAAAAGATTGTGATGGATAATATTAAAACCACTTTTAAAACCAAAAACTATAAGCATGTGTACAACACACATATATTATACATTACATTTAATTGATGTCGGTATATAAAATTAATGCGGATTAATATAATATATGCGACCGGAGACGGTAGGCGAAGGGAGCCGCTATACTTGATAATTTTWTTATTTAACTGTTAAAAATTAAAAAAAAAAAAAAATCAAAAAGTAGTTTATTGATGTTTTTTTGTTAGATATCACGTATTTTTGAAAAAATGAATGTTTTATAGTTTTTTTGGTATAACTTCCAAAATAATGATTTGCGAGAATTTCGGAATAAGACTTTTGTGTTCAGTGCTTTAAAACACACATTTTGGAGAAAAAAAAATCGAAAAAATCGCGTGGGTACTAAACTGCATTTGTTCCGAAACTTTATTTCCTTCCTTCACTTATACCTACGCACGTAAGTAGTACGCAATCCACTGCAAGTGTCYGATAGGGCAATAGAAGCTTAGAATTTTCACTTACGTTCTATGAGCGTATCACTATCACAGCAACATTGTTGGTATACCTCCACCACACAACATAATATACAAGTTGGTAGTAATATTATTATGAAACTGTGGTGGGCTACCTCCAAAATCCTTCTCCTCGTCGGTTTCTCCCTGTGTCGATTGGCAACACTGGCCCACAGGACTTGTTGCGCTGTCGTCTGCCCCATGATGAAAGATATTATAGGTACTCACAGTCAAGAATGAAAAATGTGGTGACAAATAAAATCACCGGTAGCGCTGAAAACATTCCGTGCCCAGCTTGAATAACCTTTTAGCAGCCGTCCCCCACCGATCGTGACAACTCCAGTCCATTATATTATCATAGTCAGTGGATAAACCTAAATCGTGATCTACACCCCGACGTCACGGTAATTCGAACGCCTTTATATTATATTGTTTACCGATCTGCGTAGAGTACAGTGTGAATCTCAACGTCTTAGATAAACGGATACCGCGTCCACGCTCCGTCACGAGGCTTCGAGTCTGCACAAGTAAGACAAACGTCACCACGAATTTCCTCTTTCCACGGTCTACGCAAACAAAACACGTGTTTCTCCTATCAAAACACATCTTTCGGTTCAAACAAGGTTCGGTCATAAGACGATTTCGCATTCCATTAATCTCGGTAAACAACAATCCGTCGTGTTATTAATTTTTATGTTGGCCACGTGCAACGAAACACACAAATTCATCACTTAGAACTTGGAAGCACTAAAAGCAACGGTAAGCAACACTATCGTTAATCGTGATTCAACAAAAAAATGTTGTAGAATTGTTTACAATGCGTGTTGATTGTAATTTAAAATATATACTTGTTTAGTAATTAAGTAATTAATACTCTATAGATAATATTGGTTTTGGGCAATTGTTTTTATTTCAAAATAATGCATTTAGTAGTATTGTTCATTACTCAAATCGTTAAATAAATATTGATTTTTAATGATAAATTAGTTGTACCTTGTACAGTTTTCTTTACCTTGTTAAATACTATTGTATTCTCCAAAAGAAACCATTTAATATTCTGTTTTCTTATACATCTGCTTTTATGATATAACACAGATAACAATATGGAGTTGAATTCTATGCAAGTTGCCTTAAATACTGTTAAGACATTAAGATGTGAGCTAATGCAGCTTTTTATTGGAATTCATGAAGGAGTAAAAGATGATGGTTCACAAACAGACTCAAAAAATAATCGTTATTTGCATTCTATGAATGAAATGATAGGAAAACTCGGACTCCGTATGAGGTTTGGTTCATTTAAAGTACATTTTTAATAATTGCTACAATTTAATTCACTCAAATTTAAATGAATGTGTATAAATTGTAATTTTTAGGGATCTTGAGCAAGTTGTTGGGTCCTTGTMTAGTCCTCCAGGTGCTATGTCATTATATAACACATCATTTTTAACGCAAGAAAGCACATCCGATCGACAAGCATTGTACATTCCTCTCGTGTCTTCTCATAAATGGCTTGACAAAGTAATACAAATTTTAGTTAATCATAGTTTAATTTAATTTTAATTTTAATCAACCATAGGTACATTATTTTATGTTTAATTGACCAAGTTATATGATTTCAGGTACATAAGTTAAGTTCAAACGCTGTACAAATTTTAAGTCAAAATTCTTTAAAAAAATCCTTTTACAACTCCAGTACAAATAAAAAAAAACAACAGTCTAGTTTGCACAATATATCACCACAGTAAATGTCTTGTTATATTCTATTGATTTATAATAATTTGTGTTTAGTTTAATTAATAAGTTGTCTAATAATTATTTTTAGAGCTGTTGATGTATTACTAACTAATATTAATCGGATGTTTCCTGACATGAGTATTACAATAACAAGGCCCAGTGCATCAAATGTTATTCTATTGGTAATTTTGTTTCAATATTATCTATATACTTCACTATTTAAGTAAAACACAACAAATAAATATTATATATCATTAAGATTGTTGACAATGTTATTGAAAAAATGCAGTTTAGTGATTGTTTTTTTTTTTTAATATATATATTTTAAGGCACTGTGTCTTGGCATTTAATTTAACCTTAATGAATGTTTCACAAAAAAAATATAAGTTACTCCAAAAAACCATTGTAATCTCAATGAAATATATTAAATTATTTTTTAAAATTATTCATCAAATAATGTGTGTAAGTAAAAATAAGATTTGGGAAACTTAAAACAGATATTAATGTTGGTTAAAATTTTATCACAATGTTATTATGTATAAGTAACATAATGTTACTTAGCAAGTCCAACGATCAAAATCTAATTTTTCTCACACATTTAGTGTAACAATAAAAAATGATTTTTCTTATGCAATTTTTATTGAGACCACTATAGTTTTCCATATAATTTTACATGTATAAAAAAGAGACGATTTTTTCAAGAATATTTAAATTTAGTGTCTAAAACAAACATTTAAAAAATTTAATTAAAAAACTAGCATTAGTACTAAATAATTGAATTTATTCCATATTAAGTATTAATTACTTAGAATTTAGATTAGTAATTTTATGTAATATTTTCTTAAAAAGTAAAACATGTTCAAAACTAAAAACTAATTAAATTTTTGTTTATATTTAGGTTGGTTTAAGTAAAATTTTACAAGCCGTTATATCATTTAAAGGACTTAGGATTGAATTGGTTAATATTAAAGGATATGATGAGCCTATTGATCCTAATAATTTACAACAAGAGTTTTGGAAAGATTCGAGATATCATGTTTTTCGTGAAGTAACTGATCATGCTAATTTAGCTGCTGCACATTTTTATTCACCAACATTGCCAGATTTTGCAGTTCGATCATTTATGGTAGTTTTAAACAAAAATTATTTTTAATTAAAAACATCAAAATAATAAATTATATCTTTATTTTGTTTACAGACTTGGCTCAATAGTTATTTGGTGTTATTCAGTTCGACATGCAAAACGTGTGGAAAAATAGTGCGTAAAGGATATGTAGCAACTTGGAGGGATCTAAGATCGTTAGAAACATACCATTATGAATGTTATACAGCATAATTTTATACAATTCACTGCATTTTAAAACTTAATAATAATATTAGTTAATCCTTAAATGTTAAAATAAAAATAAATGAAGTTTATGATATTTAATAAGAATATACATTACTAAACTATTTTATGATCAATTTGCTGATATTTTATTTTGATTTTGGATTTTGCATTAAATAAAATCTCATAGTGACTTTTTTAAGTGATTTTACTCATTGCACATATCATGTAATATATTAATATGTATCAACACTTTTAAAATTAATAATTGTTGTATAAGTCATTCAATATTTTAATTCTCGAGTTATGATTATGTATAACTATTCACCTTTATACATGATTATGACCACGTAACATTTAAGAACTAAAGAATCATAAAAGTATTTTTTTTTACATGTATTCGTGATATATTTGAATAACATTTGACAAAAATTATACATTTTAAAATATACAAAGTAATCTGGATGTTTATAAAATAGGAGTTAATTATTTCAATCTTATATCTATTAAAATAATGTAATAAAACATAGTAAATATGTATCATTATATTTATGGGCACTTTCAAACTATGAGTTAAATGTACAATGCTAAAAAAAATATTATTTATTTATGACACAAAAGTAAATACCAAATCAATTTGTCAAACAAAATTCAAAATTAATTCAATTTAAGTTGCTCGTTGTCGTATTATCACTTGTGAGCTGTATATCTCTACAGCTAAATATGTGTTGACAAATGACAGGGAACCATACAACAACCAAAAAATCTAATAAAATTAAACATTTATTTCAAAAATAACATTTGCAATTTTAGTTATACTCAATATTGATTCTGTCCAATTATGCTAATTCATTTTTTCTATAATATTTAAGAAAATAACATAATATCTCTCATGCAACTCATTGTTTATTTAATATATTTTAAGCTGTCTAAAATTAAAGCGTGCCTTGCCTGTGTTATTTTTATAAGTTTTTTGTATTGCAGATATCCATTGAACGTGCATTTTCAAGTCTAAAATATATACTTTATCTGATTTGATAAGTTCATTAAAAACAGATATCTTAGTAAGCATTATTATAAGGATAAAAAACAATCATACATATTTAAAGTGATGAATTTATACTTATGTTGTGTTACCGTAAAATACAAATATTTATTATCTATATTAATATTATATTGCTGAAGAGTAAAAAATGTTTGAACGTTCTTATCTCATGAACTACTGGTTCAAATTAAATTTTTTTTTACTCTCCATTTATCGAAAAAGGCTATTCTAATAACAATTTTTTTTTTTACCTAGGTAGGTGATTATGATTATTTTAAGAAATTTATTTAATTTAAATTAAAAACTATATAGTGAATATTAAACATGTTTAAAAATGTCCTTTTTGTGTAATGTATAAATTAATTTAATTATTTAAATGAATCGACACTTTTGTCTTTTGTCAAAAAATTTGTTTATTTTACGAATTTGCCAGTGCTCGAAATGAAAAATTTTACGAACCGGAACGTTTAAAAAATTTATATGAGCATTATAATATAAATTTTTAATTTTAATTATTTTAAGTAATTTTAAGCTTAAAAAATTTACAATTCAAATTGAATACATAGTTTATAATAATTTCCATAATGCTGAATATTTGTCGTCAATTTTTTTGTCACGTTTGCGACTTGCATTGTCATCAGCAGAATGTCCACCTTTGGCTAACCATGACCGTACATATTTTTCAGGACGAAATTCAGTGAGTGGAGGGCCAACACAATTAATAAATAAAAGTGCAGAGACTGTACTAATATTTAATGAAGATCTGAGAGGTGTTATAATTTCATTCATTGAGCTAAAATTTCGCTCGCACTCACTTGTAGATATCGGAATAGTCGCTACGGTTTTAAAAAGTATTTGTAAGTCGTCTGGAACACCTTCTTTTCCTCCTTCCAATTTGAATATTTGAAAACCCCGAACAATATCATTTTCTTTATTTAATTGAAAGTGGCGACACATTCTCTCTATATTAATTATTAAGTATATTACCTATATTAATTTTATATTTTGTCGAAAGGAAATTTTATAATTTTAATCCTCGAAATTGTGATACTGTGAATTATTACGAAACGGAACTCTTAAATTTTAATTTTAACCAACGGGAACGGATGCAAAGTTTATTTTACGAACCGGAACGCCGTTCCGGTGCGTTCCGGTCCATTTCGAGCACTGGAATTTGCTTTCATTAAATACTCCCTCAAAATATTCTCGTCGCTCGGAAACTGTTTTTGAGTATCTCTTTAAGTGCCTAATTCTCAGGTTTATTACATACTTATATTAAAATAACTGATAATTGTTTAACAAACAACTGTATACGTTAAAAACGTGAGATCATAGATGAATGTATAACATGTGAGTGCATCAGGATCAGAAAGAATCTAGGATAAAAAATCCACCGGAAAAAAAATCGTGGACAAAAAAAACCAAGTATAAAAAAGGTTTGGGGTAAAAAATCCACGGGATAAAAATGTCACGGATTAAAAAGACACGAATTTAATTTTGTGCTATAACAATTTCGGTACATTCTGTGAATGTATTATTATTTACTTTAAAATTTAATACAATATTAATATAATTTGAAAAAATAGCAAAATATTTTGAAAATTGTGAAAATGTATTAGTAATTTTGTATTTGAAAATTCCTAAAAAATTTTGTATTTTTATATCTAAAATTATATCTTAATATATATATATATTGTATCAATAATAGTCAATGGCCTAACTTCTGGAAATCTAATTTTGAACCTTTCCATCACCTTATAAGAAGCCTCTGTTTTTGCTTCCATAAGCACATAGCATATAGGTATAGACTAAAATATATATAGGTATATATATAATTTTAGTATTTTTAAACTTGATACTTGAAAATAATTATATATTATAGCTTACGTGATTTTGTAAAATTAGGTGTATAATAAAAAGTTGTCGGCAATAAGGTGTAGATGGGACCACCTTGAATGTGGCATCTGCATGAAGTTCTGTAGCTCCTTGATGAACCACAGCACTAATCAGTTCATGACATGCAAACATGATGCCGTATTTTCCAGCATTATCAACAATCCACTCTTGATAAAACGCAGAGTTACATTGATACCTGTAAACAGTAAGTATCAATAGTCACATACACTGACAAAATTCCAAGTTTTAATGAATTTTTGTTTAGTGGTTACCTTTCTGTATTTAAATCTAAATATTCACTTAATTCACGCAATGTTGATGGTAATGGTGGATGTGTTTGCCTTCTTGCATGACGCATAGAGGATTCTGACGTTGGCCAACTATAGAGAATGGCTGCACGTGAATTTCTGTGAAATTTAATAAGGTATATATTATTATAATTGTTTGTTCATAGATGATTAAATGTTTTTTTTTTTTTAATATTGATATTTTCAGTAACATATAGTTAATATCTAATTTAGGTATTCAGAATACAGTATTACAGAAAATACCAGGATTACTGCAACAGTGTCTTAACTTAAAATAATATTATAATATATACCATAACTTTCCAAAAAAATAATGCTAAATAAATTATTCTGGAATATATATTGTATAGTAGACTACTAGACTAATGAATAATAATGTTTACATAATATCACATTTTTTAAAATTTTATCATATGTTATAATTTAAAATAATATTTTATTATTTTAAATGACATATATTGGTAAGAAATTATGCAACATTTAAATTTACCTTGGTTTTTGAATTGTCATAACCCAACCAAATTATTAAAACATAAATCATTTTTTTTTCACTATTTATTACATTTTTTTAAATATTAAGTAAAATACTGCTTTGTAACAGCAAGCTATTAGGTATAATAAAAATAAATTTATATTCTCATGACTGAGCTAGTTATTAAAATGTAAAACTTTATAAATTATTAAAATAAATTAGGGACTACATATTATATAGGTACCTACTAAGAATTTTTGAATTTGATGTTTTTATCTTTGAAAATCAATAAAAATATTTCTTTTAATATCCATATTAGTATAATTTCATTGAAAAATAATTTGTTTAAAACAATTAATTAAATCATGAAAAAATATTTGAAAATAATTAAAACAATTAAATTTTATTTTATTATAATTTAATCATTAACCTATAAGAGAATAACAAAAGATAASACTAGCATCACAAAATTATTTTTGTCACTCAACAATAATTCAAAATATTATTAAATTTATCAATAGTAATAAAAAAAAATAATATATTTCCATACATTTAACGTTTCTAAAACAACATTTTATACTAAGTATTTTTTAACCTTGAATAATTAAAATTCAGGTTAATTGGTTTTTTTATCCTCTATTCATATAGGTACCAATTAAACAATTCAAATATAAAGTGATAAAGTTTATTATAAAAAGCCAATATAAAAAAATATTAATATTAATAAGTTGAATAAATATAATTTACTTTATCTATCTAATTTCTCTGATAATAACCAAATCATTCATTCTTGAGGAAATTAATTGATGAAATTGTTCTTACCTAATTGATTCTTCATCATAAATTGATCTTAGTCCTAAAGTTTCTGTACTTKATCTTTCATATAGTCTACTTCTAAAAATATTTTTCACCTACTGCTTGTTGAACAGTTCATCATGTGGTTCATGTGTGTGTGGCTTATTTTGTTTTATGGTACCATCTTCTGCCTGAACAGCTGTACCTTTACAGTAGACGTTTGGGATTGCACATATGTAATAACTGCAATAAGTAGCCAGTAGGTATGTTAACTATTCATGTATTCCATATTATTATGTCTTTGTTTAACGATTGTATATTTTAAATATTAATAGAAAATAAAGTTACTTACCATTCACCACCTCGTGTTTTATTTATTTTGTAATGAAATCCCTCAAAATCCATTATAAAATTTTAAAAACTGTATGAATTTAATAAAATTGGAATAAAATACAATTTTAAGTAAGTATATAGAAGTATTATGATTTATAATATCGACA